CGGCAGATGAACCTCAGGATTAAAGGGTGGGCTCAGTTCCGCGCACACTGTGTCTCACCTAAAAAATCCAATGCGCAGGCTGGAAGGTGTAAAGACCTTCCCCGGTTCTTCGGTCGCGAAGAGACTGGCCATTATTATTATTCAGAAATAAAACAAGACAGATCCCATTTGCTGATGCTGAGGCAAAGCATGACTTGCATTCATGCAACTAAACTTTTCTTCTGCCCCCAGACAGTCTCTCTTCTGCCTCAACTATGCAACCTCCTGGCAACAAACCACAGCCCAACAGCATCTCATGACCTCGGTGTCACAGCACGGCTTGGGAGGGAGCGACCTGGTGTGGACCAGAACAGTGGGGATTCTTGTACCACCTGCAGTCCTGAGCAGGGGCTCTCTTCAGATTCACTGCTGAAAACACGGTAACTGAGAGCCTTGTTTGAAAATTCTGGCCAAAATCCTTACAGAGAAAAGAAGTACTTGAAAAGGTACAGGCAGGTCTGAATTATAACAGAGGCTTATTGCTCAGCCCCTGAGGCACATTCATATGCACTATTCTGGTTCATTTCTACACGTGTATCTGTGTCTAAATAGACACAGGCATTTTACTTCCCTTCTTCAAGCTGCTAATTCTGCAACTGATTCATGAGACCTGCGCTGTACAAAGGAATACATTCCTTGCACTTCAGAAATTAAGTATAGTTGTTCAGATGTACTTTGCACAGCCAGGAGGATTTAAGGTGAACAGGCTGTTCCTCAGGGATTTGCTAGGTTAATTCTTTAAAGGGAATGATATGAGAGCTAGTTTTACGAATAGAAAAAATCTCTTCAGTATCAAAGTTTAGGCAAACTACCGAAACCCAACAGTTTAAAACATCTACATGGATCAAAATTACATTGCACACATAAACAATGTTATTTTATTACAATTCACTCACATCCCCTTTAGAATTTGTTTTAGTAACAGTTGTAACATAACACATGGCAAACTTATAAAAAACAAGCTCTTGTTCTCGTGTGACAGACGCATAAAACAAAGTAAGTTATTAGGGGGCTCTATATACATTAGCTGGGAAACCAAATATGGCTGTTCACATTTCAGGGAGTGACACCACGTACACAGGGTTTCAGAATCCAGATCAGTTCATGGAAATCTGGGGGCAGGTGCCAAATGACTAAATGTTACCATTAGGTATCTCGCTCCTTGGCATGTCCCAACACAGCTCTAGAAGAAACCATAATGGCAAACAAGGAAGTCAAATGACTAAGCTTACAGATTGCTTTATGAAAATGTGCTCTGCTGGGATTCCCCAGAAAATGAAAGGGGCAAGGAATAAGGCTGCAAATTAAAGGAAAAGGTTAAATTTTACATATTTGGAGAACAGGAACTATCTCTTTTCCCATCTCCTACTCTGCAGCCATTATTCCCTCTGAAAAATGAGGCACTGAGCAATGGGAACTACGGAGGGCAGAGATTCTGCAGCACTTGGAACTTTCATGAACTTGAACTGTTTTGACTAGACAATGTACTAGTGCCCAGCACCCTGGGACAGAGAGAGTGCACTCAGTTTCTGTGAGGAAAAGCATCGCCCTTGGAGGTTCACAGTAGTAGTGGTATCACGTGTCATGGGAACGCACACAGCATGCTAGCTGACGCCAGTGGCTGTCAAAAATCCTCTGGAAATCCCTATGCTCACCTTCATTTGGTGCCAGGTGTCTCAGCTCCCTGCAGAGTATAAAGCACTAGGGCAAGAAAATAACACTGACAAGCCTAATTCCATCGGCCACAGAAGATTAAGGTAAAAAGACAAAAAAAACCCCAAACCACCAAAAAAAAAAAAAAAAAAAAAAAAAAAAAAAAAAAAAAAAAAAAAAAAAAAAAAAAAAAAAAAAAAAAAAAAAAAAAAGAAAAAGGCAGGGACTGCTCCCTGACCAAAGGTGAAAAGCAAATATTCTTCAGTTCAGTTCATCTTAATCACCTTAATAGCTGCTAACAAGACAGAGAGAGCAAGTGGTCACTATTACAATGACGTGACAATGGGAAAAAATGCAAAGGAATAACATCAGGTCACTCCTGCGGGTGGGCTGGGCTGGGCTGCAGTTGAGCCCTGGCACTGCACCACAGCTGGGATGATCTGATTCACTTCTCTTCGCTCTCTCATGTACACTTAAACCTACTCTAGTCTACCCTCCATGTTCCCTTTGTTGAAGGGGAGAGACCTGACATCTCTTACCATCAGGCTCACTGAAGCGAGACAGGAAAGATTACTTTTGGCGGGACAAAACCGCATCAAGAGGGGTGAAAAACTCTTACCTGGTCAGAGGACTCACACTCAGACAGGTTCCTCCAGGGCAGCGTCGAATTCTCCTTCAGCAGCCACGTCCCCTCCAAGGTGCAGAACCGGTACACCTGCCCATGCAGCACTGCCAGGAGAGAACGAGCCACAGGGTTAACAGGAGGAGAGCCTGCTTGATTGAGGGGCAAGGCACACAGAGCACTCTGAGACTCCATAAAACCTTCCTTCCTCACCCATCACCCTCCTGGATGGAGGGGGAAGATGCAGCATGGCAGGGGTTGAGCTTCACCCACTCCCTGCCTGCGGCCGACACTCTGCTAATCGTCCTTGGAGAGGCTTGGAAGGGCACGAGGCTGCCAAGGGATGGCACGTGCTCTAGGACAACTGCTGACCATTCAGCAGCAACAATAACCTGAAATAGTTGTCACTATTTTTTGTATGAATTTTACAACATGCATAATTTCCAGCTCACTGAAATGTTAGATTTTGAGACGCACAAATTCTGGGAAAGTTAAGCCTCAACTACAGAATCCATATGGAAAAGAAGGTGCACAAAGACTAAATGTGCTTTTTCTTTTCTGAAAGCATACGGACTCAAAGAAACCCCAGAAGAGATATGCTAACACAGGCTTTCCAACATGTAAATGCTTATACAGACATCTGTGCTACAAAATGAAGCCATAAATCTTTGCCTAAACTACTCATGTACTCTTCTTATTCCTTCTGTCTACATGTTTGAATAACAAAATCAGCAATAAATTAAACACCTTTCTGAAGCAGTTAGTTGCTTGATCTCGTAAAAGCAGGTATGTTGAAATGGCTTATAATAAAATTATGTCAGGCTGAAGCACCAAAATAAAAGTGCAAAGGAAAAGGAGCACTCAGCCATAGTGTATGAAAACAAAGCCTCTCTCTAGTGTCTGGAGAACTGAGGAAGTCTAACAACTTTTACAGCTGTATGCATAAGCGATCTAGGGTTGTCCTTATAGTACAGCTGCTTTGCAAAGAAACTTTCTTACTAATCACATTTCTGACCCAGTAAACAGACCTATTCTATATTACAAAGCTACCCCTCAAGAAGCTGGGTCAACCCCTCAACCAGGATTAGCATCTACCCAGGCAATAGAAGGATTCAGTTCTACAAGGGCTTCCAAAGCGCTTCTCAATTACAGCTTTTGCTCAAACCCATCCTTGCCTGCTGCAACCTCATCCTGTTGTCAACTCCCTTATTACTGCAAACTAGAACTTGAATTTGGCATTTCCGTTCAATAGGATAATTTTAAAACTTATTCGAAATTACAACAATCCACTAGGCTCTTTGCATATTAGTTGGCAACTGGTAATCTGTTTGATAATTGTCAGCAGCAGACTTGTATTAGGAACTCTGAGTGAACAGTGATGCTTGAAAAAAACAATATAGACATTAATATTCTAATAAGCCATTTTTAATGAGTATGCTAAATGGTGACTGATAATGGTTCTGGCAGGCATAGCCTATTTGCTTTTGTAATTAGTATACAGAATATACCAGCAAGAAATAATATAAAGATGATAAAAAAATTAATTTATGCTTGATGGAGTTTTTTTCTTAATATAAAGGATATCTGTTTGTGTATGTTTATACAAAACCAGAAAGAAATATTTGGTAAGCACCTGCAATATGTACACCGACAGAAACTAACTGCTATGAATATTTTTCACCTGCTTTTATTATCTACTGCCAATACCAACCACTTCCTCAGGCTAGGATCTTGCTACAATGTTGCTCAAAGGTAATGAACAGAGCCTCTTTAGGTACATCAAAAATAAAAGAAAGACTAGGAAAATGTGGGTCTTCTCAGGAAGCATATGGGAGACCTGGCAACCCAGGACATGGAGAAGGCTGTGAGGTATTTAACAAATTTTTTGCCAGAGTCTTCACCAGCAAGTGTTCCAGCCACATCCTCCCTTCAGTCTCCTCTTCTCCAGGGTCAACAGACCAAGTGACTTCAGCCGCTCCTCACAGGGCTTCCCCCCAAGGGCCTTCACCATCTTCATTGCCCTCCTTTGGACACTCTCTAACAGCTTAAATCTTTCTTATATTGCAGTGCCCAAAACTGCACACAATATTCAAGGTGAGGCCACCCCAGTGCAGAGCAAGATGGGACAATCCTCTCCCTTGACCGGTTGGTGATGCTTTGCCTGATGCCCCCCAGGTCATGGTTGCCCTCCTGGCTGCCAGGGCACTGCTGACTCAGATTCAACTTGCCATTGACCACGACCCTCAGGTTCCTTTTCCTAGCACTGCTTTCCAGCCTCTCATTCCCCAGTCTCTCTGTACATCCATGGTTGCCCTGTCCCAGGTACAGAATCCAGCACTTCCCTTTTTTGAACTTCAGAGGGTTGGTGATTGCCCAGTCCTCTGATTTGTTGAGGTCTCTCTGCAGGGCCTCCCTGTCTTTGAGGGAGTCAACAGCTCCTCCAGTTTTGTGTCATCTGCAAACTTACTTAGTGTCCCTTTCAGTCCTGTGTCCAAGTCATTTATGAAGAGGCTGAAGAGCACAGGGTCTAAGATGGAGCCCTGTGGACCCCACTAGTGACAGGTCACCAGTCTGATGTTCCCCCATTCCCTCTGTGCTCAATCCATGAGCCAACTGCTCACCCACCACAAATGTGTTTATCTAGCTCTGTGATGGACACTTTGTGCAGAATGATTCTGTGAGAGACAGTATCAAAAGCTTTACTGAAATCTAAAAAGATTAGATAAACTGGCTTCCCTTGATCAGCTAGGTGGGTTACCTTGTCACGAACGAAAATCAGCTTTGATAAGTAGGATTTTCCTCTCATGAAGCTGTGCTGGCTGTAACCAGTGACTGTGTTGTCTTTTGGATGTTTTTCAATAGTTTTCAGAATAATCTTCTCCATAACTATACCAGGCACTGAAGTGAGACTGACAGGTCTGTAGTTTGCAAGGTCCTCCTTCTTCCCCTTCTCGAAAATTGAGACAACATTTGCTAGATTCCAGGCAGCTGGGATCTCTCTGGAATCCCAAGACCTCTCAAAAATCATTGAGAGAGGCTGTGTGATGACATTAGCAGCTCTTTGAGGGTTCTTGGATGAATCCCATCATGGCCCACAGATTTGTAGGGATCCACCTGGAGCAGCAGATCCTGCAAAATTTCAGGGTCGACTGGGAGTTGATCATTTTCACAGTCAAGGTCCTCCATCTCAGGGCACTGAGACCCTCTTGGTCCATAATCCTTATTGAAGACAGAGGCAAAGAAAGCATTAAACATCTCTGCCCCTGTTTGTGAGGTGACCATCCTCATCATATAACAGGCTGATGATATTTCTATTCTGCCTATTGCCATTTATGTATTTGAAAAAAAAATCTTTCTATTGTTCTCCTTCAATGTGCCCTGAGCTGGAGGACCAAAGAGCACACATATTGAAGGAACCTCATTTCCTTCAGTTTTCACATGATGCCATTGCTAAAAAAAAATGTAGTTATTAATACACACAGAGGCAAACTAACAATGACATGCTTGGAGGTGGCCTGTGAGCCAAGACAGAAGGAAGAAACGCACACATCTTCCTCTGCAACTACTGAGCAATTTCAGCTTCTTGCTTGCAGGTAGTTTAGTCAGAGGTGATTCACATTTGTCCATGCCTGAATCCTGCAGAATGACTCAGGCCCTCCTACCTTTAATGCAGTGAAAATACCAGACAACAATCAGCTTCAGTTCTAGTAGATCAGCGTAATGAACAAACTTTTCTGAAGGTTTGAGTGGTTCCTGCCTCCTTGCTACCCTGCAATACCTTTTTCCTGTCTTGTAATGTTTTTTGTTACCATAAAGTCAATGTTTCCAATCATTCTATTGCATTCTAGAATTGGCTATCATCCTCTGCAAACAAACAAATAAATCTACAGCTGGTGCACAGGGAATCTGATTTTATTTAACCTTTAAGTTAAATGCACTCACAAACTTGCACAACCTTTGGAACAGCACCTTAATGAGACCAGTTTATCTGAACGGTGTCAATCACACACCTCATTAGAATTGTATGTTAAAACATGGACTGATGCCCAAAACTCAGACTCTGTAAGCTGATAAAAGATAGAGTTAGCACTGATGTTAATAATATCTATCTAGTGGAGCTGTAAATCAAATAAAATCTTATAAGTAGTTGAATACTTTTACATATAGAGAACATAGGGAAGAGGCTCACAAACATTTATTTATTAGTCTCCTTTTGCTAGAAATAAAACCAAACTGAGTGACTTCTCTGTTTAAAACAGACAACCTGATCTGCATTTAACAACATCAGGATGTCAAGGTCAGTGTGAGATTACTCACCCAACTGTCCCTGAGGATGAACTGGAACATTATTCACCGTAAAAATAAATTACAGCATGTCCTAGCCAATCAATTCTATTAAGGCAGAGAGATGAGAGAATGAGAAGAACAAGTGACTGCGGTTTTGTCTGCCTACTCTGTGTCAAGTATTATAGACCTCTCCTCTGTTAATACCCATTCTCTATTTCTAGCAGGGGAATTGTTTTGGAAAAGGTAACAATTTTCTCCATAAAACAAGGACCTCTGCAGTATGAGAGCATCACGTTGGTCTTCAAAGCAGACTGGTTTGTTCCCGAAATAAGCAACCTGCCCTTTGATGGGGACAACAATTTATCAGAATTTAGGAGGTTGTGCCCCCATCAGCAGCCTTTGTTCAGCTATCACTTGGTGTGACTTGGGCAAAGCTCTCCTGAAAGGAATGACTCTTGGCTGTAAAAGCTGCTGCTAAGTGTCACTCAGTCCCAACCCTGGTGCTGCTTGCTGCAAAGACATCCTAAACCCAGGACTCATGCAGCTGAAAACACAAGAGTAGGGAGCAGCCTGATCCTGAAGCCTTCAGGAAGCCAGAAGAGCCCCAGCCCGCAGTACTGTCCACGAATCACATTTATCAAAATGCTCCTTTGTGCTGGGCTCACTGCCCACCTGAACATCATCAGAAATTATATTACCTCAACAGGCAGTTTAACTACAGGTACTTAATTTAGTATTCCTTCCCACTATTTCTCTTCCCTTGTAGTGTATTAGTCATTTCAACTCCTTTGCTTTAGTAATGACAAGAAAAAAGCCTGTG